CGGGCGCCGGGATGGAGGCTGTTGGGGTCGTCGCAACCGTCCCGAGAGCTGCCCCGGAGTGAGCTGAGAGCGAGCGGCGCTGGAGGCGTTGGGCAGGAGGAGGAGGAGGAGGAGGATGGCGATGATGGAGGTGTGGAGCTCGGGACGCTGTCTGATCGGTTTTCCTCTAGGAAATACTATCACAAAACGACACCGCGGTTCCAGAATTTAAAGCTGCAGGAAGAGGGAGAGGAGGAACCAGAAATAAAGCCTCGGCGCGGCCCCAAGAACACCCCGTACTGGTACTTCCTAAGATGCAAGGCGCTCATTAAAGACAACAAGGTTTGTGCCGGGCCCTTTGCTGGTTTGGTTGGTAATAGCACTGATGGAAGGTCATAGAACACCAGGTGAGGAGGGACCTCAAGGATCATCTGGTCCGACCTTTCCAGGCAAAGCATGACCCAGACTACATGTCCCAGCACCCTGTGCAGCTGAATCTTAATGGTGTCCAGTGTTGGGGAATCCACCACTTCCCTGGGGGGTTATCCCAGTGGCTGGTTGTTCACATTGGGAAATACTTCCCTCTTGTGTCCATCTCCCCAGCAGTAACTTGTGCCCATTGCCCCGTGTCTTTTCCATGTGACTCCTTGTAAAAAGGGAGTCTCAGTCTTCTTTGTAGCCACCCTTTAAATACTGAAACGTGGTGACAAGGTTTCCCCTGAGCTTTCTTTTCTCAAGCCCAGCTCTGTCAGCCTTTCCTTGTGTGGCTTCCCAGACCTCTGATCATCTTTGTGGCCCTTCTCTGGACCCTCTCCAGCCTGAACACGTCTCTTTTGCATGATGGGGACCAAAACTGAACCCAGTATTGCAGGTGTGGCCTGACAGGCCCTGAGTAGAGTGGGATAATGACTTCTGTCTTTGCTAGTGATGCTCTTGTTGATGTAACCCAGCATCCCGTTGGCTCTCTTTGCTGTGGTAGCACAGTTCACCATCCACCATCACTTACAAAGACATTGAACAATGTTGGGCCCAATATTGATCCCTAGGGGACCCCAGTAGTGACAGAAGAAGGAGCATTCACCACCAGTCAGTATCCCCCTCAACACACAGACCACTTGTCTAGACAGCAATGTATCAGCTTCTCTAGGAGGCGGCTGTGGGAAACTGTAAAGCCTTAGAGAAACCCAGGTAGGCAATGTCCACTGCTTGTCCCACGTCAACTAAGCAGTTACTCATTCACAGAAGGTGATCAGGTTCGTTAAGCACAATTTATCTCTGAAAGATGCAGCTCTGTCCCATCTGCATCATCCCATCCCTTAGTATGCTTACAGAAAGAAGCATCAGTGAGGAATCCCATGTTCTGCAGGACCTCCACAATCACCCCACACCTGCATACATTAAGACCCATTATAATTGATTCTTGTGCTGCCTTGTCATGGATTTTCCTCTTCCCTGCAGCTGGCGGAGGCTCTGGAGCTGTTTGAGGTGCAGATGCTGAAGGAAGAACGTGTGCAGCCAGAAGAAAGCAATTACACAGTTCTGATTGGTGGCTGTGGCAGGGTTGGCTATGTGAAGAAGGCGTTCAGGCTCTACAATGATGTAGGTTTATGTCCTCTCAAACCTTTGTTGTGTTTTCCAAGTTAAAACCATTCGAGCACGTTACTTTGTCTCCAGAATACCTTTGAGTTTGCACCTGTCTTAGCCTGACACTCTTAAAAACACGTTCAGAAAGTCTAGAAGTCCTCTCCTAAAAAGCCAGTTCAAAGCCTTCTCTTCCTGTAGATGAAGAAACGTGGCTTAACTCCCACCGAGGCCACTTACACAGCGCTGTTCAACGCCTGTGCTGAATCGCCATGGAAGGACTCGGGTCTGCAGAGTGCCCTCAAGTTATGGCAGCAGCTAAAGAGCAAGAACGAAGAGCTGAACCTCATCACCTACCACGCACTGCTCAAGGCCTGTGCCCTGTGCTCTGATCTCAGGATGTGCTTTGATGTACTGAAGGTAAATACTATATAGTAATACCATATTAAACGCAATCTGCTCCAGTTACAGCTCCTGGAAGTTGCCGTATTGCACTTTCATTCCCAGCAGAGGTGATTACATATCATGTGTTTATATTTCCTTGATCCTTGGTCTGATACGATGAAATTGTCTTGGTATGTAGCAAATATTAAGCTCGGGTACATAAAAGGAGGCAGCTGCAGATGTTGGCTTTAAAACTCTGGTCAGAGACTCAACAAATAATGCTGTGTCTGTCTCCATTCCTCCTCCTTTTGAAGACCTATATATTGATACCCATCTTCTTTTTGAGCTATTACAGCAGTTCTTCTCAGAAGGGCCAGTTTGGGAGCAGCTAAAAGGGTTGCTGTTCCTCCTCCCAAATTCCCCTTAGCTCCCAGCAGGAGGAAGCTAGGATCTGTGTGTGCATTTCAGGGCTCCCTTTCTCCTGGAGCGATCGTTCTGGGAGCTCACCTATGCTTTGTTGCTGCTATATCCCCAGAAGCCAACAACAAATGCTCTCTCTGCTCTCCTAGGAAATCGTGCACAAGGGCCACGTTCTCACTGTTGAGACCTTCAGCTTCCTTCTGATGAGCTGTGTAAAGGACAAAGAAAGTGGTTTCCGATACGCCTTACAGGTTTGTCTTCATGTTCTGAGTGGGGAGGAAAAAGTGTTTCAGGATTGTAACTCATCACTTGAATGCACAGAAGGCAGGAGGTTGCTCAAAGCTGGTGAAACGGGGAGTTCAGCTCCTCCTGACACAAGCTCTGTAAACCAGACTTCCATGAGGATGTCTTGTAGATGGTTAAAACACCCTGGATGATCCCACAGGAGCGCACCGCTGTCCAGTGGCATCTCATCATGCTCTAAACTCTCCTTTTCTGCAAGCAGATAACCATTCACAGACACAATCTGCTAGAAACACCCCTGTTATTTAATATCACATACAGCTGGTGTTCATCTTCTCCTCCCCAGGTTTGGAAACAGATGACTAAGCTTGGAATAAAGGGTGACAGCCACACATACAATCTGATGCTGCGTGCTGCAAGAGACTGTGGGATCGGTGACCCAGCCGTGGCTTCCAAGCTCCTGCTCAGCCCTCCCAGTGAGAACTCCCCTCAGCTCAAGCTTACACCCGGGAGGCAGAAGGAAAAGGTTAAGAAGCAGAAGAAGGGATCAGAGAGTGCAGCTGCTGTCCGGCTGGATGTGGAAGCTATGGAAAAACAGTTCTTTCAGGAAGGCTCGGTGCAGTCTAAAGAAGCGATCGAGCAACAAAAGGAAGATGTGGACCAGGCTAAAGGAGAAGCAGCAGCTCTCGACAGCCCCAGTGTAGCTCCCAGCAAGCCTGGAGCCTTGATGGTGGGAGGCCAGCATGAGATAGAGCAGGAACAAGCACACCAAAGCCAGAAGCTGCCTTTTTGCAACCTGCCCAACTTGCTGGATTCCAAGATGCCCAGCAGAGCCGTGGTTTCCTTGGGAAGAGTGGCTGGACCTGATGGGGGACGTGGAGGGCTTCTTGAATAAAATGAAAGAGGACAATGCAGAACCCAACATCAAAACATTCACGTTACTGGCTGAACTGGTGGAACCCCAAAGCCCCTCAGAGGCTTCTTTGCTGGCACTCCTAGATAAGCATAAAGTGAAGGTAGATGTGACCTTCTTTAACACTTTAATAAGGAAGAAAAGTAAACAGGGAGATCTGGAAGGAGCAAAGGTGAGATAAAAAACCCCAAAACTCAGCCCTGTTGTCTCAGACCTCCCTCATTAGCTGTGTTTTGTGAGACCTGTTTCTCTGTCTACAGCAGCAACTGGGAATCGCGTGGTGTTTTCCACAGGATTCATTTCTAAGGATCTGTGGATTCTGTTCTAGCACATTCAGCTCGCTCTGGAAAGCTCCAGCAAGGCTTTTTGGAAACTGATGTCAACACTTGTATCTTGCAGAGCATGCTGCCAGCTCTAGTGAAGAGGGGACTATCACCCAACCTCCACACCTTCTGTAACTTGGCAATTGCTTGCCACCAGGAGAAGGATGGACTGCAGTTACTCTCAGATTTGAAGGTAATAAAAAACCCCAAACCAAACCTCTGCTGCTTGGGGCTCAAGCTGCAGGAAGAGGCAAAGTGAAGCATTAGTGCTTCCAAAAAGACATGATGAGATTCCTGTGGTGAGGGCTTGTGTTCTCACTCCAAAAACATGCAACTCTAGAATAGCTGCCAGCTCAGATGTCCTGTATCTGTGCTGGGGCAGGAGAGGGCTTGCAGTGGGGTGTGCTGGCACTCCAAGCTGCCACACAGGGCCTGCAGCAAGAGCTGTGCTCCTTGTGCCTGTGAGACTTTGCCTTCTGGGAATCCTGCTCTAGTCTGCAGATAAGCAAGTTTAACAATAGCGTTTGTTGTTTCCAGAAGTCTGGAATAACTCCCAACAAGTATATCTACAGCACCCTCATTGCTGCCGCTGTGAGGAAGCTGGATTACAGTTACCTCACAGAGATCCTGCGGGACATGAGGAATAACCAAGTGCCTCCCAATGAAGTGATCATACGGCAGCTGGAGTTTGCAGCACAGTACCCCCCAAAATTCGACAGGGTAAGTAGCCACAACTGCTCACAGTGTGAAGGGACCACGGACACCAGCAAGGGAGAGGAAACATAGGTGGCTGCCTTTTTCCTTTGGGTTTGTTGGATCTGGTTGGCAGTTACTCCATAGCTGTGTCTTTAGTAGCAGGTTGTAGCTATTGCATGCTGGAATCAAAGCGAGCTCTGTTCTAACAGACACTTGTTTTGTTGGCTTTCTCTTTGCAGTATAAGTCAAAGAACCCCTACCTGGAGAAAATTGATGGTTTCCGTGGCTACTACTATCGGTGGTTAAAAGTGATGGCAGGAGAGGAGACCCCCCACCCCTGGGCCCAGTACAGAACACCAAAGCGTGCAGTGGATGAGAGCGAGGCAGAGGCTGTGCAGGAGCAGCCGGGGCAGAAGCAGCAGTGAGCAGGATGCTGAAGTTCTCCACCTTCCTTGTGCTGTAAGAACTTGGAACTTCACTCCTTTAAACTGTCATGTAGTAAAGCTGCTTGGTGTTTCAATGTGAATCGAGTTCTTTTGGTAACTGTGTAATAAGATACTTGTGCTTTGCTTTAAGAAGCCAATTTTTACTTGCAGAGGACTACATAGGCTGTAGTTTAACAAACCCTGTGCTAAACAAGGAAGAAGCAATGTCAGATTTAACAGTGGTTTAGCTCAGTGCTAGCTTTGTCCCTTTCCTAAAAAGATCTATGCATCAGTTCCAGATTACAGACTTTAGCAGAGAGCTTGGTTCAGACAGGCATTTGAGAACTGTATTACTTCCTTTCCACACAGCCTTTTAAATTCAGTTTGTTAAGAAAAAGGGTAAGAGCTGGTTAAAAACCCACCCCCATTGGGATTGCTTCACAGTAGACAGAGCAACCAGAACACGTCCAACCCAACTAGAACAAGTCAGGGGGGCAGACTTTATTTTAAAATATATGGCTACACAAAACCACACTCCAAAACCACCACCACCACTGTACAGTGATCCAGGTGAGTACGTTGCTGGTTTAATTGCTAGAGAGAAATAAGCGATCACACAGATGGTGGCTGTACCTGCACTAATAGTCCATTGCATAGGATGACATCCCTCAGAGTTCAAAAAGTAGTTTTTGGGCTAAAGGTGTCACCCAGAACACCCTCTGCATCCACAGTGAGTGCATTCAATGATTCTCCCCTGCAAAAGAAACACAGAGGAAGGATTTGAGCCAAGTGAGATGAGCAGATAGCCCAGAAGGTTCAGGCCTCAATGCATGGGAAGGGTTTCTACCCTCAGGTTTCCTGTTGTTTCCCCATACTTCAACAACCTTAAACAACTGCATGCCAAAGTTGATGGTAACGTAAGAACCAATTAGATACCCACTCTACCAGCAAGGATAAGAAGTGTTGGAACTAGAGGAAATGACCAGGAAGAACAGCACTATCCCTCCTGCTGTCCTGGGCCCAGAAGAAGTTAGAACAGATGCTACAAGGATCAGGACAAGGAAAGGAACAAGCTGAAAACTCTTACCACTTCCAACTTGCTTTTGGGGACCCTGCAAATGCAGTTGGTTCCAAAGTTGGTGTCCCGTGTCTGGATACATCGGAGGCAGCAGAGATTCTCATAGCCCTGTTTCTTCCACTTTGCAATCAGGTTTTTGTCAGCGTATCCTTCCTTGATGCAGTACTCATAGAGCTCTGGAGAGGAGCAGACACTATCACAAGTAGTTCTTGGAAGTACTAGAAGACTCACCATCAGGAATTACTACCTGTAGTAACTAGCAGCTGAAGCCAGAGAGCTGCCAGCTTTCCCTCCACCTTCCTTCCCCAGAAATCACATCCCTCCCACCAACATCCCCGTGCAGGCAGACATCTACCTCCATTCTGTTCTCCCCCACCCAGGTAAAGCCTTTGCCTTCCTCACCTCTGCTGATAGCTTTTCTTTTATAGAAGAGGTCAAAGATGTAACGTGTTTTCTGGTGGTGGATCCTGAAGATAGGCCAGAGGGATTCCACTTTCCTCTTCCCTTCATGAGGCTCAGTCTCCGCTGGGAGGGAACACAAATACCACATTTCAGGTGGCCTTCTTACATAGTTACTTTGCACTAAACTGTTACAAGAACCTTCATAACATCAGTGCATGGCAGAGAAGACTGAGCTTAATGGGAGAAGATTCGTAGAATGGTTTGGGTTGAAGGGACCTTAAAGCTCCTCCAGCTCCAACCCCTGCCAGGGGCAGGGACACCTTCCACTAGAGCAGGTTGCTCCAAGCCCCTGTGTCCAATGTGGCCTTGAACACTGCCAGGGATGGGGCAGCCACAGCTTCTCTGGGCACCCTGTGCCAGCGCCTCAGCACCCTCACAGGGAAGAACTTCCTAATGTCTAATCCAAACATAATTCAAATGAAAGGACCTGACCTGGAACAGCTCATTTCATTAATAAAGCCAGAATGACAGCAGGGATGACATGACCTGCACTAGGGGAGCAGGTGACTTCATGGCTGCCCTGGCCCATCAGACCAGAGCAACAGCACGGACAAGAATGACCAGTCCCTCCACGCACACCCATGACCTTCAGCCGGGGCTGCCCCAAAACAACTGTGCCCCAAACAAAGTGCTCTGAAACCAGCACACCGAAGAGTGACCAGTACTGCCCCAGGCTCAGCCTACAGTACTGCTGCAAAGCAGACATTATAGTAGATATATATATA